CCCTGCTCGCTGGGAGCCCCGCGTGTGCCTGACTCACCCGCTCCTCCCTCCGTGTGTTGCAGGGGCGGGACATCCCATGAAGCCTCATCGCCTGGCGCTCACTCACAGCCTCGTGCTGCACTACGGGCTCTACAAGAAGATGATTGTAAGCATCACGGGCTGGAGACCAGCAAGACTGGTCTGCTGGGGCTGGTGGTCCCTGCCTTGCGCAGTCTTATCTAGGAGGTAGACGAAATAGCTACGTCTAAGTGTGCCTGTGAAGTGCAGTCCAGCCTGAGCCATTGTAGCTATCAGTCTAGAACAGGGGCGGGCAAAATACGGGCAAGTGACTGGATCTGGCCCATGGATGCCCCTGTGGCAAATCCCACCTGCTCCCACTGGCCCAGGGCCAGATCTTGACCGGTGTGCACAGCTCCCAGCAGGGCTGTTCCCAGTGCTGCTGCACTTCCCTCGCCTCCGGTGGAGCCGCCAGCTGAAGCTTCCCTCTGCTCTTCCAGAGTGGCACAGCAGGGGCAGGAGCTGGAGGCAGGGCAAGCAGAGCAGCACCTGACGAGCTGGAAGCTGCGTGCTGTGGGGCTGTTCTGCTCCCCGCATCTCCAGTTGCAGCTCCTGCCCCTGGCACAGCTGTGGACTGCACTGCCTGGGCGAGCTCTGCTGCATGTGCATTTTCCAAGACCTTTCCCAGGATAGAGGTCAGGCTGATGGGCCTGTAGTTTGCTGGATCCACTTTCCTCCCTTTCTTGAAGATAGACACCACATTGGCCTTCTTTCAATCTTCGGGCACTTCATCAGAGCACCAGGAGTTCTTGAAGATCCATGCCAGGGGCTGGGCTATGATGCTAGCCAGCTCCTTGAGTACCCTGGGGTGTAGATTGTCAGGGCCAGCTGACTTGAAGGTGTCCAGCCTCTCAAGGTGTTCCTTCACAAGGTCAGGATTGATGGAGGGCAAGGAATCTCCCTCACCCAGGTCATCCCTGACCACTATGGGACAGGGAGTCCCATGGGATTGATGAAAGACTGACACAAAGTACCCATTTAGTAAGTTGGCTTTTTCCTTGGCGTCGGTTTTCAGTTGTCCCATCTGTTTTAACAGGGGTCCAATGTTGCCCTTGCTTTTCCTCTGGCTCCCCACATATCTAAAAAAGGACTTTTTATTGCCCTTGATACTTGTAGCTGGTTGTAGTTCATTTGTAGCCTTGGCTTTCCTCATTCGCTCCCTGCAGGTCCGGACCAATGCGGAATATTCCTCCTTGGAGGTGGATCCTGTCCTCTATTCTTTGTAGGTCTTTCTTTTTAGCTGCAGGAGGTCCGCTAGTTCCCTGGAGAGCCAAGGGGGCTGCTGTGCCCTTTTGCTGCCTTTCCTCCGAGATGGAATAGCATTAGCTTGTGCATCAAGGATTGCTCCCTTGAGGAGCGACCAGTCTTCCTGAACTCCCCTCCCCTATGGGTTGTGGTCCCTTAGGGCTTCACCGGCAAGCCTCCTCAGCTTGTCACAGTCAGCTTTCTTGAAGTCAAGGACTTCTGTGTTGCTAACTGTCTTGCCAGCTTTATGGCAGATGGTGAAGGTGATCAGCTCGTGGTTGCTGTCACCCAGCTTCCCTTTGATCGTTAGATTGCTCCCAATTGCCAGTATCAGGTCGAGCAGTGCTTTACCTCTCGTTGGCCCGTAGACTTCTTGTGTCAGATAGAGGTCATCCACGCACAACATCTACCTTGATTCCTGCATCTAAGCATTTTGTGACCTGGTCATAAAAAGAAACAAGGTTAGTCAGGCAGGATCTACCTGCTATGAATACGTGCTTGGTGCCCTTTAGCATTGCTTTCCCTGCTGGACTCCCACAAATGTGATCCTTAATAATTTTTTCAAAGGTTTTCCTGAGGATAGAGGTGAGACTAATCTGTCTATAGTTACTCGGATCCTCCTTCCTCCCCTTCTTGAAAATAGGGACCGCGCTGGCCCTTTTCCAGTCCTCTGGGACCTGACTTGAGCACCAAGAGTGCTCAAATAGCTGTGCCAGTGGCTCTGCTATGACACTGGCCAATTCCTTCAGCTGCCATGAAAAATGGAGAACATATTTTCTCCATCATTACATTGGATGGGATGCATAGCCATGGCTTGGAGTTCCAGGTTTTGATTGGATGCCAGGAAAAAACAATTTATAAACAGCTGAGATATTCTAAGCAGCATGCCATGTGGACCATGCCAGTGCAAGCCATGGGCTTTCCAGGCCTCATGCTTTACAGGGAATCCTGCCCCATAACCACTGCACCATGCATGCAGGTGTTCCCCATCCCTCTACCTCAGCTGTGGCCATGGGATCTCTCATTGCATTGTGGCCTGCACTGTGCCACCATGGAGCAGGGGCAGGAAGCAGAAGACCAGGGAGGGAGGGAGAGCCTGGAAATCCTGACAGCAGCTGCTGCTGCAGTCAGAGTGGTGGGAGTGGGGGAATGACAGTGAGGAGGGAGCCCAGGGGCCACAAATCAACCCTTTGCAGGCCACCAGGTGGACAGCCCTGCCCTAGCAGTAGCAGTAGCCTGGAGGGTGCTTTAAAGAGTAAGAGCTGGAAGCCCAGGAAGCCTCCCCATGTAGACTGCTGGGAGATAAAGGAGAGGACAAAGTTTTTTTTCTTTATCTGTCTGCTCTGGGCTGCAGTCTTCAGCAGCTGACTGAAGCAGAGCTCCACAGCCAGCTTAGTAACAAAAGAAAATTGAAGTGGCTGGGATAAGTTTATGGAGGGACTAGGATAACAGAAAGGGGCATTTTAGGTCTCAAGTTTGTGGGGGAAGGGGGCAGAGGGAGATGATGCCATCCTGGGGTTGCAGAACAGAGTGGAGAATGCTTTTTGTTTTTGTTTGTTTTTTACCATGCTTCTGAGCTCTCCTGGTTCCACATGGGGCTAGAAAGGCATTTTTCCCCTCATGTTGCTACAGGTGTTAGGGAGGGTTTTTTTTCCTTTCTCAGAACCACTGACTGCTGGCTTCAGCCAAGGTTGAGGATTTTGACCGGCATGTGTAAATGCTGGTGCTGGGACTAAAAAACCCAGAGGTTTCTGATTGATCTCTGGAATGGGTTACTGCTTAACCTGTGATAGGTTAGGATGTTTCTGCTGTTTTTGATCAACAGGCCTTATAGTTTTACAAGAGAGTTGCTTGCATATCTTAGGAATAGGTTAGATATGCACTTATATGAAGTGGCTTGGATAGGGCTGATCCTATCCTGCCTTGAGATGGGGGTTGGACTAGATCAGTGGAGGGCCAACCATTTTGGCAAGCATGCCAAATTAGAGTATTTGAGTCCAAGGCAAAGTCTTGGAGTCCAGGCCACCTGCCCCTTTGTTGCTGCTTTCCTCACTGCAGCACTGGGGAGGGGAACAGATAAATTTAGAATGACCCTCTAATAATTAGGTTCTATACATGTAAAACTTGCAACAGTCATCTTGGATTCGGGTAAATATGATAAATCTCACAGTCTCCCCAAGTACCACTCTGTTTTCTTCCCCCCTGTCAGATCTGCTGCTCTGCTTTCTACTCCCTGCCTTATCTGCTGATGTGTTGCCTGCCCCCTCCCCCATCCAAGCTCAGAAACATAGTAAAAAAACAACAAAAACAAACAAAAAGCATTCTCCATTCTGTTCTGCAACCCCAGGACAACATCATCTCCCTCTGCCACCTTCCCCCCACAAACTCCATATCACACTTTTCTAAAAGAGAACCTGAAAGAAAATTGCCAATTTTGAAACAAAGAGCAGAAACATAGGGGCAAGATGTTGAATTAAATTTTAAATTCAAAATCAGAAATTTGAACATTTGGAAATTTGCTATTAAGGTCCACCCAAAAAGCTATTCCTGCCGCTATATGAATGTATTATAAAAGGTCGAAATGAAAATCAACAGACACCGTTCTGTGCTGGAGAGCTGCTATCTATAAATAGATATCTCAAGTTTCAGAGATGCATCTTGCAGACAAGGTTCTTTGGGTAAATCTGATATCTTTCATTAAACCAACTAAACAGTTGGAAAAATTGTTCTTTGCAAGCTTTGGGTACAAACACCCTTCTCTTTTGCACCTGAAAGCTTGCAAGGAACATTTTTTCCAACTATTTAGTTGGTTTAATGAAAGATGTCACATTTACCCCAAAAATATTGTCTGCCTATGTCTTTAGACCAACACGGTTACAACCAACACCCCCAAAAGATGCATCTTGAAATCCGTGTACTTCTGGACTTTTCCCTAAGTGGCATACAGTATTTGCCTGTGGATATATTAAATCTGTATGTCATGTCGAAGAACTTACTTGTGAAGCTAGATGGCATATTGTGACAATAGTGAAGTGCCCCATAACAGTTTGTGATTATTGTATTTACCCAAATCCAAAATGCCCTTGGATATAAGACTCCCCCCCATAATTAGATTTTATACATTGAAAAATTATGAATTTATTATAATTTTCCACATATAGAATCTAATAGGGGGATTGCCTTAATTTTGTCCCTATTTTTGCTGCAGGGAAAGCAGTGGTGGGGGAGGCAGGCTGGGCAGGCAGCTTGCCCCCTGTGATCTGTTCTCCTCCTTCCCCCTTCCCCCCCCCCCCGGCTCTGGTACAAGCATCTAAAATGCAGCCTGAAGCACGGCGCACAGCCCCAACTCAGCCACCTTGGCCCCCCAGCAGCAGTGCGGAGCTGCTAAGCTGGACTGGAGCCATGTTCCATGCCCCAGGCTTTAGTGCAGACGGAGCTTGCTGTTGCTGGAGCAAGGGTAAGGGGGAGGTGGTGTGGGACAAAGGCTGCAGAAGGTGACCATGACAAGGGAAGGGGAGGGGGCCCAAGGCTGTGGGGACAAGTGCCCTATGTAGGGGAAAGGTTGTGGGGGGGTGCAGTGGGGGCTGACAGCTGCCAAGGGGAGAGGCAAGGGGTGCAGAGGCAATGAGGATGCAGGCATCAGATACGGCTCCAGCACAGGATTGGGGCTACAGCAGCTGTCTGCCCCTGTGCTGCCTTGTATTCTGTTCCAAGCAGAGTGGCTTCCCCGCCAGCCCACCTCACCCCACCCCCATTGCATGTTAAAGGGAGGAGGTGTAAAAATGTCATCTTGGATTCAAGTAAATATTGTAACATAATATTTGTCTCGATATGGGATAGTGTTTTCTGTGTGAATATTTTAGTTTAAGTTCTTCCCATTATAGTGGATGGTTTGAGATGGGCCATACTAGGACAAGTAGATGACTAAAGATGATCACATCAATTTTTCACTTAAGAGAAATGCCAAAAACACTAGCTCTGATTCCAACTGGATTCCCATCAGGACCAGTTTACTCAGAGAAGCCAAAACCCACCTGCAGTAAAATAAGCTTCCTGGAGACCAAAAAACTCACCAGGATTTAAGAGACTCACTTGGGGGAACAAGGGAAAAAATACAGACTGAGTACATTCAGACAGGAAAACCACACAGTACCCACTAACTGACCGATCTGGGATAGCAGACTTAAGGGATGAAAAGATGGCAAGCCCTGCAAACATAAAATATGTCCAAGGCTGAGTTAGTGGCACCATTGAGAGGAAAGGAAGGGGAGAGGGACAAGGGAGGTTTAAGTTGGATAGTAGGAAAAACTTTCTCACTAGGAGGGTGGTAAAGCATTGGAACAAGTTACCTAGAGAGGTGGTAGAATCTCTCCATCCTTGGAGGTTTTAAGGCCTGGCTGATAAAGCCCTGGCTGGAATGATCTAGTTGGAGATGGTCCTGGCTTTGAGCCGGGGTTGGACTAGATCAGTGTTTCCTGACCTTTTCCTGCCCAAGGCACTTACATTAATAAAAGTGTTTTGCGGCACACCGGTTAAGGCATTCCCATCCTCATACCTATTATAGCTCGTTCCCATGGCAAAATTTCACAGCATACCTGTTCATTTCTGACAGCACACTGGTTCTGACTGGACAGGGAACTTTAGAGCTTTAGCAGAAGATTGAAATGAGGAGCCAGAGTTAGATGTTTAGGGATTGAAAGCCCTATTTTGAAAACTGAGACTTGGATGAGGTGTCCAGAAAGCAGGGGGAAGGGGAGAAAGGCTGGAGTAGACAAAGCAGCAGGTTTAGAACCTCTAGAGCAACGTTTCTCAACCCATGGGTTGTGACCCAAAAGTGGGATGCAAGAATATATGAAAGGGTCATGAACAGATTTTAAAAATGGATTTTCCTTTAAAGAAGAAAAATGTGGGAAACCGTGGCTTTTCCTGTGCAGTGATCCTGCCGTGTTCCCTCTTAATAGCCTTTTTTCAAGCTGAGCATGTCTGTTCTTTCAGTTGCTCTTCATGTGACTTGCTTTCCAAGCCCTTTATCATTTTTTTTTTCTGCCTATCTTTGGCCCTGTCCTTTTTAAAACGTGGAGCTGAAAACTGCACATAAAACTCTATATCAGGTGTTGGTAACATTTTGCAATGGGGGGCTGCTTTAACAGAGATTAGTTCCAGGCACAGTCTGCTTCCAACCTAGCCTGTGCCAGAGCTGTCATTGCCACCGCTGCTTTTCTCCTGGCTGCCATGTGGGCCAAGCCCTCTGTAACCGAAATGTTGCTGAAGTCCCCCAGTTCTGTGATGAGAGATTAACAACCTCTGCTCTAAATGAAGCTTAACCAGTGCTGAGTGAAGAGGCTAGTACGTCTTCTGATACCTTCTGGGCATGTCTACATGTGCGCTTTAATGCGCAGTAGGCTATTCTACTGCACATTAAAGTGTCACAGCAAAAACAGTGCTAATACACTAATGCACTGTAGAATTCTTCTACTGTGCATTTAGCATCACTAAAAAGGTGTTAGCTTTTGCTACTGTGCATTAGAGCAGCCTAATGCACCTTTATGCATAGACAGCCAGACTGTCCTCTATGATAGCCACCCTATCAGGAGCTGCGGGGTAGCTCCCCAGAAATGCCAGGCCAGTGACCTCCCTAGTAAAAGGCAAAGAGGGGTGCCTCAAAACCCCAGCCCCCATATCCCTCGTGGGTTCGATCTGCACAGGGGGGAGCCCAGGCTCATGAGAGTCCTGAGGCAGGGTCTAGGGTGGTGGAGGGATTTGGTGCAGCGCCCAGGCTCCTCATGAGTCCTGTGGTTCCACTTCATGAGAGGGGGCCAAGCATGGCTGCGACCTTCTGAGCCTCACAGGGTGTAAGGCCCTAGGGTGAGGGGGCCAGGCACGGTTGCAGCCACCTGAGCCCCATGGGGTGGAAGACCCCAGAGGAGCCCCAGTGAGAGGGAACTGAGGGCAGGAGCCCAGTATGTGGGGCAGGGGCCCATTGTGTGTTTGTGTATGTTTATGTAGAGTTGCCCTGAACAGGGCCAGGGAAAGCTTAACTTGGGTTGGGAACTTGGCTGGCCACTACCCAGATGAGGGTCATGGGAGAGGGCCCAAGAGACTATACGTCTGCCACCCAAGGTGTGATCCGGATAAAGCCCCAAGGCCTACGGGAGCTGCTCCAAGAGGGAGCAGGGCAGAACAAGTCAATGCAAGAGAAACCCTGTGAGCGGGGTTGGAGTGTGAGAGGCCCTAGTGAGAGGAGGGCAGTGTGAACGTGTGTGAGAAAGAGGCCTGACAGTGAGGGCTAAGTTTGGTCTGGCTTTAGGCTGAGTGAATAGCAGGAACTTATGATGCCACCTGCGAGGCATGGGCCACCGTGTAGGTAAGGTTCGGAGTGGTGGATAGTGTCCCCTGGCATTGGGGCCTGTAATGGGTAGTCTCCTGCATTTTCCACCAGTTATGGGAACAGCAAAGTCCTGGCAGGCGAGACTGGGCGGACTGCCCTATAGAGACAGGTGGGCAGGCCGACTCGAGACTCGGCTCTAGGCTTGCCTCGTCACAACCTCTAATGGTTTTGAAAGCGTACATTTTGATTACGAGGCAAAAGTTAAGGCTTTAGTAATTTTGAGTAGCTGTAGCTTTCCATTATATATGCATAATATTGTTAACTTAGTTAAACATGTATCTTAAGTACAAATTTGGAGAATTCATGTTACAAGAATATTCATTTGAATCCATGCATGAACATAGTGAGACCAAGCACAAAGGGGAGTAGTTTCACACTGACACATCAGTTTGAGGTGTTTATCTATTTGGAGTTAATTTGTTGGTGAGAATTCTACAAATCAAAGTCATTTGAGCTTTGAGTAGATACTGATTCTTGTGTGTCCTTCTTTTGGAGGTTTTTAAACCATACCAGGCATCCCAGCATGATATGTGTCGATTCCACTCAGAGGATTACATAGACTTCTTGCAGCGAGTGAGTCCCAACAACATGCAAGGATTCACCAAGAGCCTCAATGCCTTCAATGTGGGTGATGACTGGTGAGTATTCTGTGCCTTGTAGGTGAATGGGAAGGACTAGGGTTAAGAAAAGGACTAGGGCTAAGAAACCTTGTAAGAAACCTTGTGGGATTTAGAATGGTATGTATCTGTCTGGATTGCAGGACAGACTGGACAAAGTCAGTTCTCGAGTATATACGCTATGTTATTATAGACCCCCTGTAGATTTGGAGCTGCTGCTGACATAGGCCAAACTGTGCACTGATTTAACATATACTAAATGTATTGTTCTTCCTGTCCTTCTGTTTTCATGCATTTCTAACCGATCTGGAATACTGCGTGTGGTTCTGGTCAGCAGTGTTCACCTAACATGAATTTAAAGTGGGATAGATACATGGAACAGCTTGCTACATGGGTCAGGGAAATGGAGGCCTATCCAGTGGAAAGAGATAAACGGGCTTGGCTTGTTTAGTGTAGCAGAATTAAAGCTGAGAGGGGATGTGACTGCCTTAGGGTGGAAACAGACATCAGTTTTTGTTGCTTTTATGCTGCCATAAAAACTTTTATGGTGTCAGCAAGGCCAAGCAAACAGATGTCCATGCCCCTTGTTATACCACAAATATATCAGTGATGAAGGTAGCATCAATAGGTGCCACTATTTAGCAGTTGGTGTCTGCTTACTGTATGGTGCAGGGCTGCCTATACTCTCCAGCCACCCCAGGTTGGTGCTCCAGGGGCTTGTGTGGCCTAGTCCTGTGCACCCCAGAAATAGCCATATAGGATCAAGCCCTTCAGATGTTGGGCATACTTGCCCAGGTTTCCCTGCTTACTAAGACACATTCTGAAGATCCCAGGGGCATATCTAGGTAGGAGGGGAAACCTTAACTTTCCCCGTTTACAGAGATGTGTCCTGGAGATCCTGAAAGCCTGACTTGGTAAGAGGGGACCCCCCAGCCCCTGACTTCCTTCACTTATGGAATTGCACCTTGGAGATCCCAGGGGAATGTCTTGGTAAGCAGGGAAAGCTGGGCAGGTGCTCCCAGGCCTTTCAGGGCCTGATGCTGCACAGGAATTCTTGGGGTTTACAGGACTGGGCCCCTTAAGCCCTGGGAGTACATGTTGTCCTTTGTCCTGCCAATTAATGCTGCAGGACAACAGTCTACATAATGAACTGAAATGGATGATATGTGCCAGGGCACATCCTGGCATAGCTAATCCACTTCATGTGATGATGTCTGTTTTTACCCTTCTGTAAATAAAGGAGAGAAATAAATGCCAATGAGGGGGAAGAGCAACTTGTCCTAGTATTGCCCTTTAGGTTAAGGAGAAATGTATATCAATTAGCAGTGAATAAATTTAAATGGGAATTTAGCCATTAGAGAAGTGAGGATCTGGAACAGTGTTCCATTTGTAGTAGTGGAAGCAAGAAATCTAGCTGGTTTTAATACATAGCTTATGAGCAAGCTTGTATGATGATGTTGCTTGTGATAGCCAGGGACTGGACTATATAATCTAGGAGATCACTTTCAGTCCTTTGGTCCTGTTGTCCAAAAATCCTACTGGCTAGAGTAGAATTGGGTGATGAAGATGGGGCGCAATTTAATGCTACTGTGAGCAAGAACAGCATGTATCCATGGATACAATTTGCTGCTTATAGCCAAGGGGCTAAGAAGCACCTTCAAAATAACAGCCTATAGCCCTAAGGGAAGTCGTGTGAGAGCAGACATCTGGACCTTTTGTGTTATCTTTTGCTCTTACGCTGTGTGAAGTCCTGCTCTCTCCCTTAGGTAGGGGCTTTGTGTCTTCTCTTTGTGATCATCCCCCTGAGACGCACATGGCATAGGGCAGAGTTCATTATGTAGACTTTTCAATCTCCTGAGCCTGTTGTATATCTCCTGATCAAGGTGGATTCATGGCAAACTGCCCGTCCAGCTTTGTGATTGCATTGGGTCTGCTGCCTGCTGCACATTGTGTACAGTGAGTGGGGTTCCAGTGATTGCAGATTAATTCCTTTACGAAAGAGAGTGTTCTTTAACCTGTTTGCTTTGTTAGCCACTGAAAATATCATCCTGGTTTTATCCCTGGATGTCTGTGTCAGGAGTTGGAAGGTGGAGTTTGCTTCTGTTTGAATTGTACATTTTTTATTTTTTATTTTTTTAGCCCAGTATTCCCAGGCCTCTTTGAATTTTGCTCTCGCTATACTGGGGCCTCCCTACAAGGAGCAACACAGCTGAACAACAAGGTATTGCTGAGTTGATAGGTTTTTCCTCTTCGTACTACTGTTGGACAAAAGACCAACACACAGGTTCAGCAACCAAGATCTTTGAGTGACACACAGATCAAGTGGGGCAAGGCACTGCTTTAGTACTGATGTTGCAAACACTGATCCATTACTGCATAAGTAGCTTAACTTGAGGGCAAAGTTGGTACTTCTAAAGGGTATGGAGTAGGAGTGAGACGGGAGAATGCTGTTATTATAATCTAGTCTTGGGGTAGGGTTGAATTTCCTGCTGTCTGGCAGGCATGGTATTAGGATTGTTGCTACTTTGCTGCCAGCTTTGAACTAATTTATTCCTCCTTTGTTTAGATCTGTGACATTGCAATAAACTGGGCTGGAGGTCTACATCATGCCAAGAAGTTTGAGGTAATGAATGAAATCTAAGTGTGTGTCTTGCTAAAGCCAAGCTTTTTGGTACTCTTCTGACTCCATTTTATTTTCTTTCTTTGGTAGGCTTCTGGATTTTGTTACGTCAATGACATAGTTATTGGGATTCTGGAACTGCTCAAGTAAGGACCTGGTGTGAATACAGCTGCTATACTATTCTGGATTGGAAGCAGTGTTGTGCATGTAGGCTGGGGATGGTATTGCTGTGTGATGGTGCTGTAGTAGCAGCATGGAAGCTGAACTTCTCTATATTGTAAAAGGGATTTGCTCTGGTTAACCCTTTGTTGATAAATATGAAGCAATGCTCATCAGAGGAAAATGTTTGAACCGTTTGTATAAACCTACTAGATTGGAAATTCAGCTGTATTGGTTTAGGAAACAGATGTAAGTATCATGTGGACAGCTTGAAGGGACCCTCTGCTTTGGGCAGAGAGAGTATAGTTATGATATAAAAAAATGAGAATACAAAAGAATGGTGGAAAAGCACTCAGAATTAATCAGGGGCTTTTGCCTCTTCCAACATTCTGTTTTGATCACCCCATGTCAAACAAGATATTGCAAAATTGGAGGTGGTTCAGATGTGAGCAATGAGAAGTGTAGGGGGCCAGATAGGGTTCTAGAGTAAGAGACTCAAATTAGTGTTGCATAGAAGTAGTTCTGGAGGTGGAGGTCACTGTGCATTCTTGGGCCCCCTGCATCCCTCCAATCCTCTACAGGCTCCCTGTATATCACCTCCCATACCATCTGTTTCTGGGACTACCTGCAACTTCTCCAGTGTCCTCCATGCAGGGGTGTGTCCCAGTGGCTCTGTGTTCCTATTCCTTCCCTGTTTCTTCATGATACAGCTCTTGTGGCATCCCATGCCTCTTCCTTCTCTTTAGTCCCATACCAGGTACTGTGTGCCCCAACACCCCTCTCCCATGTCTGGGACTCTGGAGGCATCCCAATATCCTCCCTTTCCCATGCTGTGTTTTCAGTCTGTCCCCAGTCTTGTCAAGGAATATGTGCAAGATCTCTTTTTTTTTTTTTCCTTTCCACCTTTTATTATCTAAGAGAGCAATTGTTTGGGGGACCAGCAGGTGGAATTCTACTTGCTGGGGTCATGAGGTACAGTACTAGTATGCTAGGAAGCATTAATTGGTGCCATCAAACAGTTGTTTAATTTATGGACAATTGCGATGGTCCTGTGGCTGTACTAACCTGATGTTGGGAACCAATTTTTCCTCCTCTCCTCCTCCCCTTCTTTCTCTCCCTCAGCTTTTCCCAAATTATTAAGGTTCTAGGCACTGAAGCCAAGACCCTGCCCCCCCCCCCAAGATGTTGGAAATGATTGGATGTGGCATCCATAAATTGTCATGTTAGAGATAAATACACCACGCTTCATAATGTTTCTACAGGGTCTTCATAGACTTCAAAGATGTTATAAAAATTCAAAATGAACAGCATAGAGATAGGGAGATCAAGATTCTGTATTCTATCTCACAATGCAAGAACAGGACATGTTTAATAAAGGTGAAAGTTAGAAAATTCAGAATTGATAAAAGAAAATGTTTTTCCGTAACATATAAACTTTAAACTACAGGAATCAAATCAGTAACTAATTAAGAGTGCTTAGAGGGAGACCTGAGGGGATGGCTTCCCTATGTCTGCCAACTCCAGGACTCCTTATACCATCTGAAGCATCTGGCACTGGATGCTAGTAGAGACAAGACAATGGAATAAATTGGTTTGTATGGTAATTTGACAATCCTTGGAAGAAAGTCAGTTTATAAAAAATTATCTTTTCTCTGCCTTTCATTAGTTTGGTCATTTTACCTTAGGTCTTTGGACATGCTTCTGGCTATTTTATGCTATGTAAGCAGTGCAGAGCAGACGGAAGTCTTTTCTAAGGCTTGGCTACCAATTCCCTGATGTCACAGAATTGCTGTATATTATGTAACCAGTCTAGCCAGCTTACTGCATCTTGGTCCCCCCACACATCATGGGAGCGTGAAAACAAAGTACACTGCCCTCCTGCTGTTCCTAATCTGGGAACCATTGCAAACTAGCATGAATTAGCACTGAATGCCTATTGATTTCTGCCTTACATACCTGGTGGTACAGGAGGAATAATAAATAGCATAAGTTAGAGTTAACTTCTGGGTCCACAATGAATTCCATGGTCAGGGAAGCCAAACAAATGCCTTAGAGCTGACTTTGCCTCAGCTGCACTCAACTGGTGCTGCCCTCTTGAAAGAACTCCAAGTACTCCTCATGTGTCCACACCTTGAGGCACTGGAATACAGATGGAAGAGTGACTGCTTGTTTCCTTCCTCAAATGATTCTACTGACTCCCCATTCATTTCGGAATATATTTAAAATTGCTGTAGCTTTTAAAGATTAACTTGATCTCTCTCACCCGGGGCTGCTTGCACTACGCTCCCACCTGTACCTGCCTCACATGGGTCAAACTGCCCCAGCCCCAGCCAGTGCACACAGCTTACTGGTGGGGCTGCTGCTGTAGTTGCTTAGGTACTGCTCAGCTCTCCCCCGCCTGCCTCCCCCTTCATCAGCTCCTCTTCCTCCTGCCCCTGTTGTTCCACGTGGGGCTGCAGGCAGCAGCGTGGGGAAGTTGTAGGGATGTATGCTGGGCGGTAGATGCCCAGCTAGGTTGGGGGAGGGAAGCTGAAACTGTGTGTGGCTTCTGCCCCAGCATGCAAGGCTCCAGCTCCTGGCTGCTTTCTACCTATTCAGCTGCCTGGCATGATGAGCAGCCACCTGTGGGTGGCTTGGTGGGTAGGAGGTGGCCTGGAGCTGGAGCCCTGCACACTGGGGCGGCAGCTGCCTGTCTGCAGCTTCTGCCCCCACTTGGCTGGGCATCTGTTACATGGCACATATCTCCATGGCTTCCCCATGCTGCCTGCTGCCTGGAGCAGTACAGGAGGGATAAGAGGTGGAGCCTCCAGAAGAGTGGGGAACTGAGTAGTATCTGGGTGGTTGCAGCCCTGCCAGGAGTTGTGGTGGTGTCTGACGTGTGGGTGGGGCTTGGCCCCATGCAGAATGCTGGGCCGGGGGGGGAAGTGGCATGAGGTTATAGATTTCATAGACATTAGGGGCTAGAAGGGACCTTGTGAGATCATCGGGTCCAGCCCTCCCCTCCCACCATAGGTGGAAAGTCAGCTGGGATCAAGTGACCCCAGCAAGAAATACATCCACCTGTTTTTTGAAGGAATACAGAGTAGGTGCTTGCACCACCTCTGAGGGGAGTTTGTCCCAGACCTTGGACACACGCACTGTAAATAACATTTTTCTTATATCCAGTCTAAATCGGCCTTCCTGGAGTTTATGGCTGTTAGACCTTGTTATCCCTTGGGGAGCTCTGGTGAACAGGTGTTCTCCCAGGTCCTGATGTACCCCTCTTATGTAATTGTAAACTGCCACCAAGTCCCCCCTGAGCCTTCTCTTCTCCAGACTGAAGAGTCCCAAGTTCATCAGCCTCTCCTTGTACGGCCTTCACTCCAGGCCTTGGATCATACGAGTGACTCTCCTCTGGATTCTCTCAAGCTTCTCCACATCATTCTTGAAGTGGGGGGCCCAACACTGGAGGCAGTACTCCAGCTACGGTCTCACCAGGGCCAAGTAAAGCAGGAGGATGACTTCCCTGGTTTTGCTTGAGATGCATTGGTGGATGCATGCCAGAGTTTGGTTAGCTTTGCCAGCCACAGCATCACATTGGTGGCTCATATTCATCTTGTGTTTAATCAAGACCCCCAAGTCCCTTTCAGTCATGGTGCTAGTGAGCGTAACACTGCTGAGCCTGTAAGTGTGCTGGGGGTTCTTCCAACCGAGGAACTTTACCGAGCACCTTACACTTCTCTGCATTGAAGGCCATCAGGTTTTGATCAGCCCATCTTGAGTGTGTGTCCAAGTTGGCCTGTATCCCCAGCCTGTCCTGCGGCGTGACTGCCCTCCCCCATAATTTGGTATTGTCCGCGAACTTGGCCAGTTCACATCCAACTCCCGAATCCAGATCATTAATGAAGATGTTAAAAAGTACAGTCCCAAGTACCAAGCCCTGAGGGACTCCACTGGTCACTTGCGCCATGTTGATTTGCTTCCTTCAACTAGTATTCTTTGGGTCCAACCCCGTAGCCAGTTGCCTAGCCATTGGACCATATGATGATCAAGGCCACCGTTCCCTAGCTTAAACATGAGGACATCATGGGGAACTAGGTCAAAGGCCTTCTTGAAGTCCAGATATATGACCTCCACATCATCTCCCTTGTCCAGGGCACTTGTTATCTGGTTATAGAAGGAGATGAGGCTGGTCAGGCATGACCTGCCAGTCACAAAGCCATGTTGGCTGGCATTCAGAAGCTTGACTTCTGTTGGTCTGGTGTTGATGGATCCCTTGACAATTTGCTCGAGGATTTTTCCAGGGACAGATGTAAGGCTGAGTGGTCTATAGTTCCCCGGGTCATCCCTCTTACCTTTCTTGTAGATAGGGACCACATTCGCTCTTTTCCAGTTATCCGGGATCTTGCCCGAGCACCATGATTTTTCTAATAACTCTGCCAAGGGGGATGCAATAATGTCTGCTAGCTCCTTCAGGACTCTTGGGTGCGTTCCGTCTGGGCCCGCAGATTGCGAGTAAGAACCCAGACTTAGTAGGGCTCACAGAAACCTGGTGGGACCCTACCTACAACTGGGCAGTGGGCATTCGGGGGTACACCCTATATAGAAGAGACAGAACAGAGAGGAAAGGTGGGAGGGTTGCGCTCTATGTCAAAGAGCACCTCACATCATCAAGGATTAGCTTCGGGTTAGAGGAGGGTCGGGCAGAGACACTATGGGTCAAACTAAAAAGGGGGCGTGGCGAAAGGGACCTTACGGTGGGTGTCTACTACAGACCACCCAACCAGGGGGAAGAGCTAGACCAGGACTTCTCCAGTCAGCTTATGGAGGCAGTTAGGTCAAGGGATGTTATTGTCATGGGTGACTTAAACTACCCAGACACTTGCTGGGAGGAGCAGACAGCCAGGTCTGACTGCTCGCGTAGGTTCCTGGCTGTATTACAGGACCTTCACCTTATCCAGGAAGTGCACAGCCCCACTAGGGGTAACGCCTTGCTGGACCTGGTCCTGGCCACGGGGGATGACCTGGTGAGGGGACTGCAGGTCCTTGACCACCTGGGCAATAGCGATCATCACCTGCTAGATTTCACTATCCAACGCAGGGTGTCACGGTCTTACACTAAGGCTAAAGCCCTTGACTTCAGAAGGGCCAACTTCAATGAGCTCAGGAGACTAGTGGGGGAGGCACTAAGGGCCCAGACGGTAGAGGAGATGGGAGTCCACGAGGGAAGGTCATACCTTAAGGGGGCAATCCTCCAGGCCCAAAGAATAACAGTCCCTGAGAGAAGCAAGGAGGGTAAGAGTGCTCAGAAACCCTCTTGGCTCAGCAAGGGCATTCAGGAAT